CGCCATTGGCTGTGTGCGCTGCTGAGGTGGTTGCCGCCCTGTGGTGGTGGTGGGTGGCGTCGCGGTTGAGGTTTTCGACCGTACTGCGCAACACGGGCCCTCGAAGTTCCTCGTCCAATCTCGCGTGGTGCGCAGACCTGAACATGCCCTAAAGTGGCACCAGCCAAGGCAGGTGTTGCACTTGATTGATGTCACATTACGGAATATCCTGGTCTGACATACCGTGCAGATTGGCGGCGGCGTGTGGGTGGTGGTGCGCTTGTGTGTGTTCTGTGGTCTGTCGCGGTCTTGGTGTGGTCTATTCTGTTGTTAAGTTGTTGAGGTGTGGTGTTTGTGTGGGACTGCTCTGTTTGAGCAGCAGGGGGCCACAAACGACGTGGTCCACTGCCGATGTGTCCGTAGTCCTGAGCAGACTCTGAGGTGACTCCACCCCTCGCAAGCATTGCACTTGACTGAGGTGGAGTTGTGGTGTAGTCGTCTCTGGCATACACAGCAGGTGTAGGTTTCTGGCCCTGGGTTTGGCTCGATGCCAGCCCTGAGTAGAAGAAAACGAAGCGAATGCAGCCCTATGGTCGAACAACTTCTGAGATACTTCGCCGACCTGAACGGAGTTAGATCGCCGAAACAACCGCCGGCTGTCGTGGGAATGTTCGCCGTTCGCCGGGTATTGTGTTTTAAGCATAAGGCATTAAAAAATTATCGTGTCATTACGTTAAAAAATAGTCATTAAGTTCATTTCCACATGGCATTTTTTTAAATGACATACATTGTTTGTCATTTCAATGGAAAGTCGGCATTATATGAAAACTAATGAAAAAACAAAAACTTACTAGTAGGTCTTTCTTTAATATAAAAATAATTTTAACAAGTAAAGAAGTATAAGTTCGGGCGAAACCGAACTTTATATACCCGGCGCAGGTATTAGATATCGATTTGTCACCTTTCAGTAAACTGCATGATAAGGAAGAGTATTTTTCCCAATGTCAAACAGTGATATATTGAAATAATTGGACCAAGTTTGGTGGAAATCGATAAGGCGGTTATCGATAACTATGTAGTGATAAGTAGGTGGTGCCACGCCCATTTTACAAAAATCAATAATCTTGTGTCCTGTTAAGAGATTTTTGTAAGTTGGGGTCTTTCTCTTCTTCTTCTTTATTGGCGCTGTAACCGTCATTTCTCTTCTGTGCTAACTGACGCCAATTGGAAATGCCAAGTCAAGCCAAGTCCTTTTCCACCTGGCCTTTCCAACGCAGAGAAGGCCTTCCTCTTCCTCTGTTACCAGCATCGTGGCCCGCGTTCAATACTTTCAGAGCAGGAGCGTTTCTGTCCATTCGAACGACATGGCCAAGCCAGCGGAGCCGCTGTATTTTAATTCGCTGCACTATGTATATATCGTTGTAAAGCTCATACAGCTCATCGTTAAATCGTCTGCGGTATTCGCCATCGCCAACGCGATGGGGAGTCTTTAGTTATTGAAGTATCGGAGTATTCGTATATCTGAAATTTACCGTTATATGGTAAGTGGCGGTAATTTAAGTGCGATTTAAAAAATTTTCAACATATTGCTTTTTTGCGCCAAGGTTGATAAATGTGCCGAGTTTGGTAGAAATTGATAAACCGGGTACCGAGATACACATATATAGGCATGAGTATCGGTGCCACGCCCATTTTCCACAAATTTCTCTAAATATAATTTTCGGCTAAGAGGCCATTGCATATATCGATTTTGAGTAAATTAGCTTAAATAGTTACTAATTTATCACAGTTTTCGTATTTCTGTAAATTACCGTCATATGGGAGGGCGTGGTTCTTGTGTGATGTCAAAAAATTTCAACGGGTTTCTTAGTGAGGTTTGGTGGGGATTGGTGAAGGGAATACAGAGATATAGCATTTCATCATAAGTGAGTGGTGCCAGGCCCATTTTCCAAAAATGTCATAACTGTCTTATTTTATGCCAAAATTCTACTTCGGAAACCAACTTCCAATTTTGATCTTATTTTTCCATATTTCAAAAATACCTCTATATGGGAGGTAGGCGTGGTTATTGTCCAATTTTGCCCATTTTCAATCCCAACCTACCATGGATAAAGGGCTACCTACTTCCCAAATTTTGTAGACATATCTCCATTTTTCTCGAGTTATCGCGTATACGGACAGACGGACGGACATATATGGCTTAATTATTTTTCTTTCCGTTCTGATCATTTACGTACACAATTGTCTATATCTATCTGGATTCGTTTCGGTTGTTACAACCAAGCGTTATGTGAACAAGTTATAAAATCCTTGTGCACAAGTGCGCTCGGGTATAAAAAGTTACATCTACACATACTATAGTTAATGCAGGGCTACCGCGTATGGCTGGTTAGAGGTGCCGGTGCGCTCGATACGTATTCGACAAGTTGCGGGTACCCTATTAACAGAATGCAAAACGTTGCTTTATAACTATTACTGTCCCTTAGTTTGGTAAACATTAATGAACCTTCATACGTATTTTCATAGATATTAAAGATCATCGCAGTTTTCTATTTTTTTCCAGCTAAATCGTCACTTTTGCTTTATGTGGAGCGTAGGAAAGGACATACTTAGCCCATTACTTTTTGGGCCGACCGGCCAAATTGGCAAAAAAAAATCTGCTAAAATGCTTCAACTAAAATTCAGATTGAAATAAATCACAAGTAGAAAGACTAGTAAATTCATTAAATAAATCTCAAAAACAGAGACTGGTAAATTCAATTCAAATTATTAGTTTTTAACAAAGGAAGCTGTCGTTATACGTAGCTAAGCTTTACATCAGAAGTCATTTTTGTATTACTTAAATAAAAAAAAAAGATCAATTACAAACTTATGGCGTTTTCTTTTCTATTGAAAAAGTTTGCCTTCTTATATTGTAACATTTGAACTACGTTACTTTTCGTCGTGCAAACTTACTATATTAGTAGAAAGTATTGCACTTTTGCTTAGTCGGAGGGCTGAGGAAAAAATGGCAACATTATTTCGAGAAAAGAAAACACCATTAATTTAAAAAGCAGGTCCCTTTTTAAGTTTTTATCAATCCAACTATTTAATTCTATTTTAATGTCCATATATTCGAAACGTTTTGATTGACCTCTCTGCGTATGCATGATACAATTATTCACAGTTATTGCATCTTTAGAAAAATTATGGTATGTATGCAGTTTTATAGTCTATTAAACTTTAATATAATACGGTGCAAATTTTAAGTAGCTAGGACTGACCGCTGATTTTTGGGATTTTTTGTATGACGCTGTTACGCATTTTTTTATGAAAAAAATGCGGAACACCGTCACGAAATTAGCCAAAAATCAACGGCAGTGCTAGTTACTTTAAATTTGAGGAAAATTTTTAGATTTTTCATAACTTTTGCACAAAGTAGGAAATTTGGATTTAATTGTTGGTTTTTTAAGTACCCAGCTACATTAAAAAAATAATAAGCATTAAATAATGAAAATTTGCTAAATTGTGGCGTCCCAGTTTATATGTATATGGGTCACTGTATATTCGCTTAAAATAAAAATCATTGAAATCGGCCGTGTTTTAGGACTCTTCGGATTGCAAAAAATTGTCTTTCAATTTTATATAACACAGTCCGACATGTAATTTTGGGTCGTTAAATTTGTAAAAATGGAAACTTATGTATTTTGATTTTAAGAAAATAAGGCCTATAGCAAAATCGGCTAAAAACGGCTATTTTTTTACGAAACGGCGGCTAACAAATCGGCTGCCGACTAAACCAAATTTTCTCCTGCTGTTTGCTATCGCAACTGGCTAAATCTAGCCGGAAAACGGCTAAACTAGCAACACTGCAGACAAGTAGTTGTGAGGTGGAATAGTTTAGCAAAACATCGAAGGTCATTTACAAACCAAGACTGTAGAACAATAACTACTGGCAGGCCATTACTGGCGACGAACGTGAAAAGTACATGGCATCGGCGAAACAATGCTAAGCACCTCCTATGCTTATGACTGGGGCTATGGGGCTATCGCGGACTCGACTGAAGTAGTTGGCTGCTTCCCATGTCGGGAAACTTGAGAATTTCTTCCAAGTGGGACTCCAAGGGCTCCTTAATTTCATTAAACATGTTAACACTCTAATTTATGTCCACCATAAGCCTTCTTAGCGTTCTATCTTCATCTGGTACCGCTGGGACCAAATAGTCTATGCGTAGCACACAGTCCGTGACATTTACAGTCGCATGGCATGGTAAACTTCCGAGTGTATTTCTGCTTTGAAAAAGCTTCTTATATAACCATTTGTCGTTGGAGGCTCCTTCATTTGTGGTATAACATCATGACTAACTCCTAAAATTGGTGGAGAATCTTGGCCAAACACTTAGCAAAAGTATATGCGCCAAAATAATAATATTATTATTATATTCGGACTTTGCTATTAGTTAATAATTTTTATAATTATCACAAATAAGTATTACGCTGAGGAAATTGAGAATGAACAGTACGCTTGGAGGAGAAGGCAAATTCTTCTTGGAAAATTATTTAACATCAGCAATATTGTCTACAATTTATGGAAATGATAAAATAATTTTTGAGGACTTTTAAATTTAAAATAATTTAGTAGATTTCCAAATAGAAAGCAAATATAAATTTTCTCTCGCTTGCTAGCAGGTTGCTTTACCAAACTTTCAGTTTTAATTTTTTCTTGTGCTTTTGTTTTTTCGTATGTGATAAAAATTTCTATCAGCTGTTCCTTAAACTTTTTATTTATTTGTGACTTCACTAACGTTTTTTTATTGATATTTTTCTATCGAATATAATTTCTGCAATTTGCTGTTCGATAATTATCTCTGGAAATCTTAACAAACAGACTAAGGGCCAGTTTTTTAGTGACAGTTTATCACAATTTTAATCGTTTGGCTATTTCTAATTTAAACCAGCCAGCTCCAGCGTTTAAACTAAGTTTAAACTTCAGCCATGCACTAAAAAACTGGTCCTAATCGTCAAGTCCAATTTCAACGTACCTTTATACCAGAACGGCCCTGCTGTTTCAGTAAAACATTTTCTGGTTTCATATCGCAGTGAATAATCTCATTCTTATATAACGCATCCAAGCATTGCAGCAGTGAGTGAGCGAATTTTCTTACAAGTTGAAGGCTGAATCCTTTAAAGCCATTCTTTTTTATTAACTCGTATAAATTTATATTGAGTAATTCAAAAGTAATACACATATGATTGCGAAATGTGAAATAATCAAACATATGAATTATATTCATTGTATTATATTTGTCTTGTCGCCGCAAATGGTGCAGAATGCGTATTTCTTCTTGTGCTTGTCGATGAAAACGCTTCTCATTCCTTACCATCTTCAGCGCGACATGTTCATGTGTCTTGTGATCGTAAGCCTTGATAACTTGTCCAAAGCTGCCCTTACCTATCACCTTAAGCATTTCATAGCGATAGGCCACGTGATCGTGTGGTATATGTATGTATGCACCTTGATCGTTATCATAATCGGAATTATTTGGACCGAATATACCGGGTCGTTTCTTAGCATTAGCACCAATGAAATATATTTGCGGGTATGCTAGTATTTCTGTGCGCTCATATGGTGTCAATTTATGCATATATAATACCATTACTTGTTGCGGGGATACAACCAAAGGTTTGGGTTTCGCTTGCAAGGCACACTTTTGCTGTCCTGACATAATAATTTGCTCATGGAATGAAAATGTTTCCGCTACCTCCGATGGTTGGTGCAACTGGCTTTCCTTTGTAGTTGTTCCCGGGTTTAACGTTGAAACAATGCTTTCTGCAGAAGTTGTAGCTATTGTTGTGATACTAAAGGGTATGTTACAATCTGGGCGCGCACAGGATATAGGTGTAGGCATTGCAGAAGATGGCGATGTAGCTGTTGAGATAATCCTTGCCAACGACAAAGCTGTAATTGAAAAATTTTTTGTCAACCAGAACTAGGAATTTCGTTTTTTTGTGAGGTGTCCAAAAAGAAAACAACTGTAGAACTTAGTACTTCATGTAGCAACGGGTTGGCCGAAACTCTCCTCCGATTTATAGGGGGTGTGCGCCCTGATGTTGCGACACAAAGGGGAGGGACTTATGGTAGTAGTGAGACTCCCACATGTCAAGAGACGGTAAGTAATTTTCTTTCGGTAAACGATTTTTATTCAATTACGTTCATTTGTTAATTTCGCTATAATTAAAATTGTGCAAATACTTAAAAATTAATAAATTGTAAAAACTTAAACTATTCTACATTAAAATGTTTTTGAAGTAAAAAGTTGAAATCAAATATTTTATAACAAATTTCATGATCAAGAGATAAGTATAAAATGGCAAAGTATATTAAGAATCTATAGCCTTAGTAAGGCATTCTACGCCCGCCACACTCAATTTGTTTAGCATCAGCATGCATATTCCGTAGCAGCCAATGGTTTTGGAGGTTTTTGTTTTCCCGACGGCCTCCCTAACTTACTTATCATGAAGACGCGTACTGGTTTTCGGTAGTTTCTTAACCCTTCGGGACACTCGACATTCGGCATCATCTACCGAAAGATGATGAATGAACTGACGGCTGAAATAGCTCGCGCACTCTTTCGGGTCCGACGATACCCAATGACCAGAGGTCGAAAATATCCCTCAACACTTTGAAAGTGTCCCAAAATAACCGTCCCTCTTTAAGAGAAAAAATAACCCACAAAACAGAACAGGTGGTTTATTTTTTGTAGATATGTGATCCTCTCAGTGGGAAAGGGTTATTTGCATATCTTTTTCCGCTGCTGTTGGACACGGACACTTATCGCTGGAAGAGGAAAAATAAGTGTTAGAGCGCGGTTACCCACGAACGTGTATGCAGGGTATCGTAGAAGTGCGTAGAAACATATCAAATTTGCTGTTGAGATATAAGCAACGTCAACGTCGTGGTCATGCGGGAGCAGGGTTGCGTGCTTTTAAATCCATATTGATTTAAAATCCGCTATTAGTTAAGAAATATATTTGATTTGTGATTTGGTTTGTTGACCAAAGAAAAAATAAAATTTATTTGTGATTTGATTTGTCAACCAAAAAAGAAATAAAAATTTGTAAAGCGAATCAATTTGATTTGCAATTTTTCAACTAAATAATACTTTTGTGATGCAACGCAAATAAGATATTCAAGTATCTTCCAACTTCCAGTTCTACGAAAATCTGCGGGGCCCTCGGGACTAATCCGCGATTTTCCAGACTTCTTCGGGATTAACGGAATCTTCGGGACCACTTCGGGATTTTTGGACTATTTCGAGATGGAAGTGAACTAAATCGATTCATGATATCGATTCTTAAATATCGAACATTTCTAGTTCCCAGGTTGAGTATCTGTGACTATATCATTTTCTTTATAATTACCTTTATTTTAATCTTCCTTCCTTTATCTTCATCTTTACTCATCCTCGTATTTTTCTTAATATTTATCTTTATCTACTGATGGTTTTAGCGACCTTTCTACTTATAATTTAGTGTTTTGCCGGCTCGAGGTCAATTTTAAAAAATTCTTTTATGAAAACACAAGTTTTTTGGTGTTTATTTCCGATATATTTCGGTTACGCTTCGGTAACCGTCCTCAGGGCAAATTAATTTACACGTCCGCACTGTTTGACGTGGAGTTTGGTACCAAATAAATAAACACCAAAAAACTTGTGTTTTCATAAAAGAATTTTTTAAAATTGACCTCGAGCCGGCAAAACACTAAATTATTTATCTTTATCATTTTAATGTTTATCATTTTCTCGATCTACATATTCCCCTTCACCTTTGCCCTTATAATTACGGTGACCATAAATATATTTTGAAAATGCAGGACAATTTTTCAAAAAATTTACATACATATAATTGCGTAGTATAAAAATAACAAAAATATACTACATATATACATTCCTCGTCATTTGAATAGCGCACCCTTTTTTTGGTTTTCTACCATACAAAGTATGCTTGACAAAATTTTTATATGCAAGAAAATGCGCAGCACCGTCAACAAAAAAAATTTCGCCCCTATGTTTATTTTTTTTTTTAATTTTCAAAAATTTTTAAAATGGGATGTAGACGTAGAATATGCTATATTTTTATAAAAAGTTAATGAATATTAAACAAACAAAAGCAAAACTGTATCTACTAAGCATTAAAAGGATGCGCTATTCAATTAACGAAGAGTGTATATTTCTTAATTATTAATCCAATTTTAAACTTTAAACATAAATCACATTTGCTTCATTAGTATTAATCTTTTAGTATTGAATATTTACAAAATTATAATAAAGCATATTACTTTACACGAAATATGAACCTCTGTAAAGTAAACTTTTTAGGCAAACTTTGGGTCGTTGAACACGAAAAAAATACCCGTGGTTTCAAAGAAGTGGTTTCGAGATTTGTTCGAAAACCGTATTTTTAGTACTTTTTCAGTTATCCTCAATATCTCATGAAACGACCAACAGTTCGAAAGGTATTGATGGGCTCTTTGCAAAAATATATGTTTTTTGTGCAGATTGTGTTCCGTAACATCTCCATTTCTCATCAGATTTTCATTTACTGTAAAAAGAAAATAATGGAAATTTAAATTTTTTGATTTTGGTCGCTTGTAACACTAATAATTTTCATCGAAATCGGCAAAGTAATATATATTTGTAAGAGGACTGTAGGTCGATTATGTTGTTTGGATAATTTTTTCATGAGATATTGACGAATAGGTTCGAAATATACCAAAACTCGTTTTCCAAAATATTACGAAAGCGCTTGTTTGAAAGGAAAATTGACTTGGAAAATATTTATTTTCTTAAGCGATTACCACAAAATTTGTAGAACAGTGTTATCGATATATTTGATGCTGGTCTTCAATTTCTCGTAATCCATTGTCCATAACCGTACAATATTTAGAACGCATTGACTAGTTGAACCTTCAAAACCAGCTTACCCTTATGTAGTTATCAATTAGTTATCGACACTGCTTTTATTTCGGTTAAGAAAAGTTAATTTTAAAATATCGAAGAAAATGCGGGACAAAGGCAGGACACTTGGAAAAAATCAGTACATTTTGGGGGTTTTCTGTTTTGAAAAACTACGCAGGACAGACCTTTAAATAACAGTACGGTCCTGCAAAAAAACAGAACGGATGGTCACCGTACTTATAATAGTAAAATTTTTAAATTTACCTTGATCTTAATTTTTGCATTTATCTTTACGCATCTTTGTTTTTGTTTTTATTTTTACCTTTGCCTTTATTCTTTTCTTTATCAATAAAATAAAATAGCTTATTTTCGGTGTATCATATTAAGAATGTGCACGCTCTCTTTGTCAATGTTCCGACATGAATGTGTACGTATGAGTCGTTTAAAGAAATACCTAACGCTTTGCTTCCACTTATTACGCCCACTTATATTTTTCAGTCCTACAATAACCCACAAATTAAGACACTTAAAAATAAAAGTCCCTGCCAAAGTGTTTTTGCCCAAGGGAAATTTTAGCAGTTGATAAATAACCCACAACGGAAAACACAAAAAGATCGCACAGAGTTACTTGCTACGGTGGGAAACACTCTTTGCTCCAGAGATGAGTGTTTGTGTCAGTGGCAAACACCATACGAGACACTTGGTGACGGTTATTTTCGATATCTGCCCATGACAGAAAGTGATTTCTCCCACCAGTGGTGAAGTTTCAAATCGTCAAGTGCTCTTCTCACATCTTTCGCTATTCGCATTTGCTAGTTCAGCAGCTCCAGTCGAAAAATGTGGGCGGAATCTATGGGAAAGTATGAAGCGTGCCGCTGCAGCAGTGACCACACTCCGGAACTGCCATTCACAAATATGGAAGACTGTACACTGGTCTGCGGAAGCAAATTCGGATGGTTTATCGGGATGATGGGCAGGTCGTCCGATGCGACGATAGCATGGGTCGCCACGGTATGATATTTATGAGACTGGCCTAAATGTTGCTATGTCAGGCGAGGTGCTGTAACTACGTCACAGGATGGTCTGAGAGTGGCAGAAAGTCTAAGTTTCGAAATACCTCGGAATAGCCAACTAAGTGGTTGTCTAGATTCTAGACATTCATATTACCACTATCAAAGGATTTTTCCAGCGAAAACTGGCACCGCCGGTGTTGTATGAATCGTATGTTTACGTAAAAATTCTAACAGACATTTAACGGACTCAGCACTGGTAATTGAATTATCGGTTTTAATGTCATGATCAATAGTAGTCCTTTCAAAGTTGAGAATATTTATATGATTTAACGCATTTTTAGTGGCTTTGTGGAGAGTGTAACTACTTTGCTCAAACGTGCGCGGATGAGTTATTGGGATTACAATGTTCATTAAACTCTGCTTCACATTCCATATGCGCTGTGAGGAAAAAGTTGTAATTAAGATCCGATTTGACTGAAATTTGCCATTCAGTACTTTTGCCTAGGAAGGAAGAAGCATAAAAATGTCATAGATTAGCGAATTTCCTCGCCCACTACATTAAGGGGATAGCCGAATAAAATAAAATTTGTTTTTTATAAATAAAATTCCACAGACAACAAATGAAGAAACAGCTTCTCAAAAAAAAAAAAATACAATCGCCGTTCGGAGTCGGTGTAAGACTGTAGGTCCTTTCCTTTATGTGAGGCCCATCCCAAATCGGAGGAGAAGCTCGGCCAAACACTAATATATTGTGTAAGCGCCAATTTATTATTATTATTATTATAAAGTAGATACTAATTTTCCATCACAAGATTTCATTCCTGCCCAATAATTTGAGTCTGGTCATGAATGGAATTTGTGTTTTTTTTTTATATCCATAAAATGAATAATTTGAAAACTTACCTGTAAGTGACTTTGATGTGTAACCCTTTTCCAGTTCATTGATCTCTTGGGTGCCTGAGTCATTACTAGTATAATTGGTTAACTGATGTTCATCCAAATGTCTGGGGATATTATCTGTTTGTTGTTGCAGCTGCAAAATATTCAGATTAGCTGTTAACGGTATGGGAACGCGAAGTGCATTGTCGCTACTATCCGAATCCGTTTTAAATTCTTGTTGTATAGCGAGTGAAGTTGAGTGGCTACTTTCACTGTTTATGTCATAGTTCCGTAGAAATTGATTCTGTGGCAGGTTCTTAGTTTTGATAGTAGTTATGAGATCAAAGTTATCCCTTTTTATCTTTACAACAGCATCATCTGTAAAAGTACAAGCTTCTTTTGACCGAGAGTTATTTGGGATAACATCGCCGCTGAAATTGTCGGACATTTTCGCTGTTGAATATTCGAGAACATGATTATCAGCAGTTTTAAAGCCACTTTGATTCGTAATGCTTTTGGTGGTACCTTGAATCGCGGCCGCAGGGGCATCAACTAGTAACGCATGTTGTCTATCATGGCCAATCGTAAAATTATGGTTGCTTGCATTCTGCACACCATCAAGCGTTTGTGCAGACGACAGTTGCTGAGTTTTCTTTTGTGCACCAACCATTGTATTGCCGTTAGTAGTACTGTGAGTTGTGAAGTTGTTATTAGAAATTAGACTTAAACAAGTACGCGAATTATTACTATTGATGCAATTATTGTTCTTTAGTTCTGCAGACCCTTGATTATTTGATTTTAATAGCAAACTATCATCACTATTACCACTTATAATCTTGATTGGCAATGACGATGCTAATCTTAAAGATAAAATATTTGTGCTTGAGCCTAGCTGAGCTTGAATGTTGGTTTCTTCGCTTTTTATTTTATGTGCTGCCTTCGTAGATGTGTTTTTCGAAGTTTGTATTTCCACGATTTTATTATTAGGGTCACGATCTGATGCGAGATAAGATGTGTTAACGCAACCAGACTTCACATTGATAGAAGTCAGGTTTTGTTGCCTCTCATTCGATGTATTCTCGTCTAAAAATTTGCTTTCGGTTTCTGATGATTCCGTGTCTTTAGAGATATTTTTGACATACTTATCATCACTGGAACGGTATAATTTTTCACCATTTTCATTAATACTAGTTATGGGTGCAGCACATATACAGAGAGTTTCGAATTTCGCACAGGCACGCTCATTTATAACTTTGTGCGATGTCTTGTGTTGCGGTATTGGCATTGCTAATAATTCATAACGGTCTAAAGGCTGGTTAAATAAGCTTTTAATTTAAATTGAAGAGACAATCTTATCTCCTCGCTTTCAGTGTTTAGAGGAGTTAAGTGCAGTTTCTGATACGCCTCCTACAAATCATGAATATCTTCTAGTAGGCGCTGGCCCGTTAAAGAAGGTAAATGTGTTTCCACACTAAATGATGTTGAGAAATGTGTTTCATTATAGCCATGTCATGTTTTTACTCTCGAGATAAAAGCGATTACCTAAGCTTGGTATCGAGCAGCACTTGATAAAACAGATAGTTCTTTGGTGTAAATATGTTTTTATACTGCAGGGGCTGGACAAGGAAATAGTTCCATTTAAATTAGGTAAGATTAGTAATCCAAAGCGATTCGAATGTACAAATAGCTGTCCAAAGTAGATATCTTTGCGCGTTATATACGCCGCAGTGTATTGTGCAGGAAAATTTTGGTTTTCTATTATCACTCCGCGCTAGAAAATTGTTTATAAGTTTAACTAACTGCAGATGCTGCTTTCCTCGGCTGTTTTTTTATATAATCTGAAAAGCGTATGTCTTTTATAGCAGTAGGTGGTGGTGGTGTGGTCAATACCAGACGATTTTTGTAAATTCCTTGATGTAATCGTTGCTGTTGTTTGATTGTAAAAATGTGCGTTTATATTGGAGGGATATGATGTACACAGCTTTCTTGTGTGATTGGCGTTGCTTATACTATTATCATCGCGCAATTGCTTTTTCAAATTCTACGATCGTTTTTAAGCAGTATAGGTTTTTGAACTCTATTTCTCCAATAAGCAGTTAGAGCGCAATTTCTTATGAACTAAACATAATAGCGAGATCAGAAATTTCAACGGGCTTCTTCGGTTGTGTCAAGTGTGTGTTAGTATTTTTTCTTGTTCGAATGTGTATCGCTCATGTTTATATTATTGCCTGCTTCTCTGGCGTTATGGTAGATTTAACAGGATTTTTTCTTCTTATTTTATATTTCTTGCCCTTATGTATTTCAGCTCAGCTTATTGATTTCTCATTCGATTAAGGGTATCTGGCTAAATCTGACTGCACTTTGGCTTACTGACTAACACTATTTATCATTTGACTGTAGACAAAGCATTCCAATAGATACTTATGTAAACCAACTTTTCAGATGTTTTGGACTCGCGCGAGAAAATTTTCCACTGGAAGAATAATGTAATTATCATTTTTTTAATTTCTACTCTCGTACCAAGTCTTGTCAATATTTAGTTTGTTCCAATTCTCCAGGGTTTAGTCAGAAACAGTCATATTTAGTCAGGAGCTTTAGAGAGCGACTTTTAGAGTAATTTTTGCTCTCACCAGCCCGAAGTCCGATCGAATTTGTGAACACTGTCAAGCATATTTAGCTGTTCTTCTTTGATTGATAAGTGAACCATTAAATCAATGTTGTGTTTGCTGCCACTCAAATCTTAAATTTATAATTTTGTACGAATTGACGAAAAGGAGTTACATAAATATAAAAAAAAACATATTATGTGTGTACGGGAACGACCTCTGACTAAATCCTGGAGTATCGCAATCAGGGAACCAGAATAATAATAATTATTCATTCCCACGACAGCCGGTTCTACGTACCGGAATGACTCGGGTTTTACCTGACCAAGGGCTGTTGTTTCGGCGATCTAACCCCGTTTAGGCCGGCGAAGTATCTCAGAAGTTGTTTGTCCATAGGGCTACATTTGTTACGCATTCTTCTGCTCAGGGCTGGCATCGAGTCAAATTCAGGGCCAGAAACCTACATCCGCTATGTACGCCAGAGACGACTACACCACAACTCCACCTCAGGCAAGTGCAATGCTTGCGAGGGGTGGAGTCAACTCAGAGTCTGCTCAGGATTACGGACACATCGGCAGTGGACCACGTCGCAGATGGCCCCCTGCTGCTCAAATAGAGCAGTCTCCACTTCTATCCCCAGTCCACCTGAACAGCTCCACACAAACACCACAGCACAACAACATAACAACACAATAGACCACACCGCAACCACGACAGACCACAGAACATACACAAACGCACCACCACCCATACGCCGCCGCCAACAACTCCTGGTTCCTCCTACAATCTGCACGGTATGTCCGACCAGAATATTCCGTAATGTGACATCAGTCAAGTGCAACACCTGCCTTGGCTGGTGCCACTTTAGGGCATGTTCAAGTCTGCGCACCACGCGAGATTGGACGAGGAACTTCGGGGGCCCGTGTTGCTCTCACACCCCGCATTACTACACGTCTCCCGAACCACATGAAGCTCCTTCAATTTACCTGTAAGAGGCTTCAGAGCAAGATCGAGGAGATAACCGTCTCCATGGGAAGGCGTGGTATACTGATAGCTGCGGGCCCAGAGACGAAGTTGCACAGCAATTAAACATTGTTGAATCGTGCCGGGTACAACGTGCACCGTCGAGATCGCGAGCGAGATAATGGTGGTGGCTTAGCGTTCATCACGCACCACACCGTGCAGTATCGTCTTATTGAAGCAGACATCGACCGCAGGGTTACCACCCTAGAATGTCAGGGCATTGCTATCCGGTCAGGCGATGTTGAGCTCGAAATATTTAATGTGTACATACCCTCTGTCACCTACTGCCCGGCAGGATATCACCCTGACATAGGTGCGCTCCTCAGAGGTGAAAACCGTATGGTAGTAGGTGACTTTAATGCACACCGCGATCTTTGGCACTCAAGCCTGTCAAACGATCGTAGGGGAACAGATTTGGCTGAGGAGATAGACGATTCGACATTCTGCACAATGAACGACGACGCACCCACCAGGATTATGGGCAGCTGCTGCAGCTCGCCAGACATTACAATAGTCAGCGCTGGTCTGATAAACAGCGTATCATGGCGACTTATGCTGACTTTGGCATCAGACCATCTTCCGCGGAACACCGGACCTATATTAACTTTTCTAAAGCTGATTGGAAAGGCTTCGCGTAATTTACTGAAAACACCTTCGCTGCGATCCCCACACCAACCGACGTCCTCCTTGGTGAACGCTGCTGCAGCTCGCTTCGTACCGGCAGGATGCATAACGGACCCACGTCCAAATTTCCCTGCTGAAGCGGCTGTTCTAGCCGATGAGCGTGGCAGCCTTCGTCAGGCCGACCACCGTAACAGGGATCTCAACGCGGAGATTCGCCAACTAGTGTACGTGCATAAGCGGAAGAAGTGGGAAGAGCATCTGAAGACCTGTAACTTCACCTCTGGTGTGAGCAAGCTTTGGTCAACCGTGAGGTCACTGTCCAATCCGACGAAGCATGACGACAGGGTCGAAATTTCTTTCGGCGACCATGCTTCGTCGGACCCGGAGCGATGCGCGAGCTATTTTAGCCGGCAGTTAACACTGCATCCTCCGTTGGACAAAGCCAAGCGTCGAGTGACAAGAAGGCTGCACAAACTGCCAACCACTTGTGCCCCCTTGCTTTCACTTGCGGTGAAGTTCAGGTGGCCATCGGGAAGGCGAAAGCCTCCAAGGCCATGGGTACCGACGGAATATGCATGTTGATGCTAAAAAATTTGGGTCCTGTGGGAGTAGCGTACCTAACGGAGGTCCTCAATTTGTCAATGGCTACTCTCATCATCCTAGACATCTGGAAGGTGGGGAGAGTGGTCCCACTGCTCAAACCGGGGAAACCAGCCAACAAAGGAGATTCGGATCGACCGATAACACTCCTTTCCCCGGTAGCGAAGACACTAGAGGCCTTGCTGCTTCCGTATTTCATGAACCACCTGACCCAAGCGAAGCATCAGCATGGTTTCCGTAAAGTGCACAGTGCACAGTAAAGTGCATAAACACTCAGATAACTCGTGGCCTTAACCGTAACCGTCCCTGTGGGAGAACTATTCTAGTAGCGTTGGACCTGTCAAAGGCGTTTGACACTGTCAGACATTCCACGCTACTAGAAGATATAGAGGCTTCCTCTCTCGCACAGAGGCTCAAACGGTGGTCGGCAAATTATCTGAGTGGTCGACACTCGTCGGTAATGTTTAGAGACAAATCGAGCAAACTCAGAAAAATAAAACAGGGGGTTCCACAGGGTGGTGTCCTTTCCCCGCTACTGTTTAACTTTTATATTTCAAAGCTCCTTCAACCACCAGAGGGAGTCTCGATTGTCTCTTACGCCGAATATTGCTCGATCATGGCGACTGGGAATGGAATTGATGGCTTGTATTCGAAAGTAAACGGGTATGTCTCCGAGCTTTCTCACTTCTTCACTGCAAAGTGCCTAGCCCTCTCCCCTACGAAATCCTCTGCGACCTTGTTCACCACCTGGACGAAGGAGGTCAGGCTACCGCTGGGACTTCACGTCGATGATACACCAATTCCGACGGTGAATAACCCCAAAATACTCGCAGTAACATTCCATAGTCTGCTCTTCTTCTCTGCGCACGCAACCGCTATTGTCAATAAAGTATAGAGCCGCAACAAGCTCCTCAAGTCGCTAGCCGGCAGTACTTGGGGCAAAGACAAAAGAAACGTTGCTGGCAACATACAAGGCAATAGTCCGGCCGGTTTTAAATTACGCAGCACCAGTGTGGTCGCCGGGGACTAGTAGAACGCAGTGGATGAAGCTACAGACGACTCAAAGCACTGCACTCAGGACAGCGACTGGATGCCTTCTGATGGCGCCAGAGCGCCACCTGCATGACGAGGCGAAAATGCTCCCAGTCAAGGAGCATAACACAATGCTCTGCAAGCAGTTTCTGGTTGAGAGCCACAGACGTGGTCATCCAAATAGACAGCTTCTTGCAGAGGAGCCCTCGCCTAGGCACGTCAGGAGGCATCTCTACGAACTGACGGACGAAGTCCAGAGGTTCATTAAGCAACCTCTTGACCCGTCAGCATATCGACAGGCCCTGACGGGCATTCAAAGGGAGGTAGTCTCGAGTTATGTAGACTCCAGACCTGTGAATGACGTTCTAGGCACACAACCACCGGACATTGACGAGACGGAGCTTCATCTGCCTCGGGAGACAAGAACCACAATAGCCCCCCAACTTCGCTCTGGCTACTGCAACAGGTTAAACTCATACCTGAGCAGACTAAACGCGGATATGCCAAATGAGTGTCCGGCATGCGGAGAGACCCCTCACTACTCGAAACATCTCCTCGCATGCCCGGAAAAGTGACAACCCTAACGCCTTTGTCCCTGTGGACCGACCCTATTGAGGCTGCACGCTTATTATGCCGCCGTTAGCGGAACTTGACGACAACGACTGAGATATTAACCGATCTGGGCGGGGTTGTTGTAGCCGCTACGACAACAACAACAAAAATAATAATTATTTGATGGCGGAGTTTTAAAAAAGTCATTAAAATTTTCGTAAGAATTATAAAAACCTTTTGGTAATAATTATGTGAGAAATTTTTTTTAGGTCATCGATAACTATTATTTTAATACTGATATAATAGAAGTCTTTTCATAATAATTACCACCGAGATAAATATTTTTAAGTCTTCAAAGACTTTTATTTTGAGACTTATATTATAAAAGTCTTGTCATAATTATCATTCAGATAATTATTTTTAGGTCTTCAAAGACTTTTGCTTCGAGACTTATATTATCAAAGTCGTTTGATAATAGTTATGAGTGCGAAAAAATTGTGTATATAGTCCCGAACGGGTCCCAAACCAAGCCCGAACTGCCCAACTAGGCCCGAACTGGGCCCCAACTAATCCTGAAATGCACCTGAACAAGTCCCGTCTTTTCAGATTTAAAAATTTTTTTCGTGCTCGCGCGTCTTAAGATAAAAGTCTTTAAAGACTTAAAAATATTTATCTCTTTGATAATTATTATGAAAGGACTTTTATAATATAAGTCTTTGAATAATAATTATAGATGACTCGAAAAGTATTCAGCCCTATTCTGCATTTCGATTACGTTCCCGCATTCCGCTCCGCTGGAATCGAACTTGGGTATTCTGCGTTACAATCGAAACGAAAGAAGAAGAGGAAGAGAGAAAACATCTTTCGAAATCAGCTGTTTGCCTAGGAATGTGTGAAATCGAAACATAACAAAGAAATATTTGCCACCAAACTATAGCAGCATATGAAGTTAGTTTGTAAATATTTTAAAATAACTAAATATACCTAGCATCGCTGTAATTTAAAAATAAAATTTAAGTGGATACATAATTACAAA